CTCAAACTGAAGACCATTCCCGGGCAAGGCGGGTCTCCGACTCCAGCGGTCGCCCTTCACAGCAACAACCGCCACAATGCCGGCCCGCGACTGTTCACCTTCACCAATCCGTCGTCCATCGGCGCCATCAACGCCGAACCAGGCAACTTCAGGTTCGACGCTCCCGCTCAACCAGGCTGAAACCCAACACCACCTATTGGGTCAGCATCTACGCCGACGACGACCCGATGCACATCGTACTCACCGCGGAGGACCGGAGCTAACGACCGCGGCGCCGGCGGCGACTGGAAGATTGGCAACACCCACGTCAACAGACCACCGACACCAGCTCAACCTTCACCACCGGCGACGCCAGCGTCCGCCTGAAGCTCTGGGGCGCAGAGATCGCGCCCGATCCTGAACGAACCGGATTCCGGGGATCTTCCCAATTCCGGCGAAAACGCTCGGCCTGATCACTACCCGGCGAGACCCACACGGGCAGGATGCACGCCAACCACGACTCCGGCAGAACCAAAGGAGACTGGTGGAAGCTCCGCGTCGAGCCCAACACCCGTTACCGGGTCAAGGTCGATTTCGCATCCTCCGGATCCACCGTTGCCGCCGAGAAGCGCGGCGGCTCCATCGCAGTGAACCACAACGCCGCATTGTGGGACCACAACCGCGACGATGGTCTCGCTTTCATCGAGTTCGTCGCGACCTCCGAACCCTATTACCTGCGCATCCAGGCCAAGGACTCCCTCAACGAAGGTTCCGCCACTTATTTCGGGTCCCTACACCGGTCGATCTCGACAGAATCGTTAACACCACCCGCAAAGTGAGCAACACCGATTCCCACACCGCGGCACCACTCGGGTCAGCAACACGCTTTGGAAAGCCACCGCTTTCACCACCGGCTCTCACGGAGGCGGCTACAAGCTGTCATACATCGGCGCCGGCCTGCACCACGACCCTGACAACAAGGCCACCAACTTGGTTTTAGCCCAGCTGTGGTCCAACGAAAACGGCTACCCAAGCATCAAGCTCTTCGACTTCCAACGCATCGGGCCGATCACCGGCCACCCAACCGCACAACTCAGCGACCGTTTTTGGGCTCCGCGCGACTCCACGCTCCTCCTCCCCAACACCACATATCAAGTGGTATTCCGGGACGCCAATTCCGGCTCGTCTTACCACGTAGCCACCGTCCCCGACGGCGACGAGAACCCCGGCGCCGCCGCCGGCTGGTCCATAGGCGACAACGCCGTCTTAATCAATTACGCCTCCACGGAGGACACTTCAAACTGGTCCGACTTCGAAGACACGCCCATTTTGCTCGAATTCTTCGCTGGGGAACAACCTAAACTGAAGCCAAGGTGAAATCTACATTCGCGGGATGGGAAGGGTCGGCTTGAGTGCTGGCAGTCAGTTCTGCTGCTCGAGCCTGAAGCACGGTCTGGCATCGGCGCTTGACTTCGTCGCATCGGCTGGACAGGCTGGCGAAAAAGTCGCCCACCTTCTCCTGGACTGCGGCACGGGTCCCCAGGCACAGGTTGGCGGTCACCTCTTGACGTACCCAGCCCCAAATAGCCTCGTCGGCGTTGAAATCTGGGCTATAGGTGGGCAGGTTCACCAAGCGCAGGTTCAAGTTGGGGTTGGCCAGGTAGGCTCGCAGCGCGTCGCCCCTATGAGCTGGGGAATTGTCCCAAATCACCGTCAACGGTTCGGTGTGTTGCGCCCGCAGTTGACGCAGGAAGGCAACCGACAGGAAGGCAACCGAGGTGGTGGAGTTGCTGTTACCTTCCAGTTCCATCAACTCCACCTCTCCGGTTTCCAGACACACCGCCGAGTAGTAGCTCGCCTTCTCCCCACGTCGCGGGCTGGTGGAGTCCACCAGCGCCGGTTCACCCTTCAGCACCCATTTGGCCCGCAGATCCGCATCCGCCCGAAAGTGAGCCTCGTCAGCGAAGAATATCTTGGCCCCAGTTCGTCGGGCCGCCGCTGTCAAGGCGATGTACTCCCTCACAAGCCTTCCCGCCGTACCGGGTCTGCCTTGACCAACCGCTTCTTGGGACGCTTCAGGACAAAGCCCAACCGGTGCAGGTAATTCAGGCAACCACTCCGGCTCAGCGTCAACCCGAAGCGTTTCCTCTACCAACCGGCGCACCGCCTTCCAGTTCCAGTTGGACAAATCGATGCCAGCTTGCGACGGCAATTCCTGCACCGCCGCCTTCAACTCGGCCTGCCGCTCCCGGTTCAATGCGGGGGGAACCTCCTGACTGCTCAAAAGCCAGCGCCTCAGGACCACCCTCCCGGAATGCCGTGGCCCATTGGCCAATAGTGTGGGCGTCCCGTTCCAACGCCGCGCCGCGGCCGCGGCCGTCCAGCCTCGCGCCAGCAACCACACCGCGTGCCACCGTTCCCGCTCCCGAGGCGTCGGCGCTCGGTACATCCGTCGTCGTACCGCAGCCTCATCCATGCGCCACCGCTCCAGCAGCGCTCCCATCTCCAGCATACCCACCAGCAACCCCCGGCAACTTCCCAACCGATCCTCTCAATTCCTTCCAATTCTATCCAAACCAAGTGCGGGTTTCACCTTGGCTTCGGTTTAGTACTCAGTCAATCTTGGAATTGGAGGGATAGAGGCGATACAGTTTGGTTCGGGCATCCTGGGTGCTGAAGCTCCAGTTGATGGTGGCCCCGGCTGCGTTGCGTTCGGCTTCATAGGGGTTGATTGCTCGTTGCAAGCCGGGTTCATCGGGATACCGCCCTGGTAGACAGGCTCGGGTCAACACGCTGAACTCAATCTCGGCCATGTTCAGCCAACTGGCGTGTTTGGGCGTGTGGTGAAACTCGAGGCGTTTCACGATGCGACGAGCCTCAGCGGCGGGGAAGGCTTCGTAAAGAGAAGCCATGCGGTGGGTGTTCAGATTGTCAAGCACCACCCGTACCACCGGAGCGTGGGGATAGGCTACATCCACCAGCCACTGCATCTGGTGGGCGAAGTCCTGCATGGGTACGGCGTTCGGTGATGGCTATGTGGCGCCAACCGGCCAGAGGCTCACAGGTCAGGAAGATGTTGCGGGTACCGCCGCGCCGGTACTCGTAGTCCTGGCGTCGCGGGCGTCCCGGTTGGGCGGGCAAAGGCTCTCTCACATCGGCCAGCAGTTGGGTGGAGGTCTCGTCGAAGCACACCACCGGCCGGTCGGGGTCGTAGGGTTCGGAGTAGAGGTCCAGCACGTCCTCACATGGCAGCCACGAACTCCCGTTCACCTTGGGGATGCACCACTGCTGCTTTCCGCCACGGCTGGAGGATGTTTTTTTCAGCCGCAGACGCACCGTCTCGTATGACAACGACTCCACCAACCCCAACTCCACCGCCTCGTCGGCCAGCAGCCGCAGGGTCCAGTGGTCCATGTCCTTCGGCGCAGCGCTGCCTGCCAGGGCAATCATATGGCTTTCGCCCTTGTCCAGCCAGTTTTACGATGAAAAAAAAAAAAAACCGGTTTGGCTTTGGCTGGCTTTGCGCTTTTTTAGGAAAGATAAGGACAAGGGTAGTGGCCTGACCCCACTTTCGACGAAAGGTCCAGCCATGCTCACCCTGCCCGATGCCATTGTAGCCGTTCTCGTTCCCTTCGCAACGTTGTTCAGCAACCCAACCTGGCGCAAAGCGCAGGTGTTGCTGGTGGGCGCGATACTGGCGCCAGGCCAGCGCACGGTGGCCGCGGCGCTGCGGGTCATGGGTCGCAGCGATGACGGCGACTTCGCCCGCTACCATGAGGTGCTCAACCGGGCGGTGTGGTCGCCCCGTGCGGCCGCGGGTATTCTGTTGGTATTGTTGCTCCAGCACCTGGATCGCGGCGATGGCCCCCTGATCTTCGGCGTCGACGAAACCTTGGAGCGGCGTCGGGGCCGTAGCATCGGCGCTCTGGGCGTTTACCGTGATGCGGTGCGTTCCAGCCGCTCCCAAGTGGTCAAAGCCAGTGGTTTGCGCTGGATCTCCCTGATGTGGCTGGGCCAGGTGCCCTGGGCGGGACGCCATTGGGCCCTGCCGGTGCTCACGGTGCTGGCGCCATCGGCGCGGTACTATCAGGAGAGAGGACGTCGGCACAAGAAGCTCACCGACTGGGCACGCCAGATGGTCCTGCAACTGCGCCGCTGGCTGCCGCAGCGGTCGCTGGTGCTGGTGGGGGACAACGGCTACGCTGTGCTCGACCTGCTGCACTGCTGCCAGTCCCTGTCGGAACCCGTTACCCTGATCGCCAGACTGCGCCTGGATGCCGCCCTCTATGCGCCCGCGCCACCCCGTCAACCGGGTCAGAACGGCCGCCCAGCGCTGAAGGGCGCACGACGACCCTCGCTGAAAGCGCTCCTTGAGCAGCCCCCGGCTACTGACCAGCCTCAGGTAACCTGGACCAGCGCCACGGTGGGCTGGTACGACGGCGCCACCCGCACTGTGGAACTCACCTCCCAGACCGCAGTCTGGTACCGCTCGGGCAAACCCCCGGTGCGCATTCGCTGGGTGCTGATCCGAGACCCACAGGGCGCCTTCGCGCCCCAGGCCCTGCTGTGCACCGACCCGTCGGCAGACCCGACGCAGATCCTGGAATGGTTCGTGCTGCGCTGGCAACTGGAGGTCACTTTTCAGGAGGTGCGGACCCATCTGGGCGTGGAGACCCAGCGCCAGTGGTCCGACCTGGCCATCACCCGCACCACGCCGGTCCTGCTGGGACTCTTTTCCTGGATCACCCTGGCCGCCCACGCGCTGCAAGAACGCCACCCCATGATCCAGCGTAGAGCGGCCTGGTACGACAAACCGTCGCCGACCTTCGTCGACGCCATCGCCCTGGTGCGCCGCCACCTGTGGCTGGCGTCGGAGGGTTTCCCCCGGTCGCCCAGCGACCCCGATACGCAAGAACTCCCCACCGCTCTGTACCACCGATTGGTGGATTCCCTCGCTTACGCCGCCTGAAATGCGCAAAGTCCAGCTTTGGGGGGATGTCGTGCAGCACGACCGTCCAATCCTTCTTCGGCGTACCGCCGTTTGGTGCGGAACACCGTGCGCTGCGACGTGTCCAGCGCTGCTACCACCTGGCTCGCGCTCCACCCTTCGTCAGTCCGGAGCAGGATGCGCGCCCGCGTGATTACCCGAGCCGAATGCTGGCCGCTTCGGATCAATTGCCGGAGCCGTTCTCGCTCCTCCGACGTCAACTGTACCCCGTATTTCTCCTGAACCATGGATTACGCACCTCCCGCACTGCTGATTGCTACTCAGCGTAGCCACTCCGGCTCACCTCTCGCGGTATCTGTCGATACAGGTGTGACTGAGTACTAGAATGTTACCGAAAAGTCGGGAGGCAGCCACGTGGGAGGAGGCATCAGCAGGATGGCAAAACAGGAATTATTGATAACGATACGGGACCGTTACCGCGAGTCATCCAAAAAGGACAAGGGCCGAATCCTCGATGCATTCATCGCCGTAACCGGCCACCACCGCAAGCACGGTATCCGGCTGTTGGGACAGTCCGGCGACGCTGGGGAGAAACCGTCAATGATCAAGGGCCGGCGCATCTATGATGAAGCGGTGAGAGAGGCGGTGATCACTATCTGGGAGGCCGCCGACCGCATCTGCGGGCAGCGCCTGAAGGCGGCGTTGCCTCATATGGTGGGGTCCATGGAACGCCATGACCATCTGGATCTGGACCCAGGGGTGCGAGATCGGTTGCTGTCCGCCAGCGCCGCCACATTGGATCGGCTGCTGAAACCCATCCGTCCCACCGCGGGTAGCCGGCGCAGACGGCGGCGACGGCAGTCGATGAGCAAACGCGTGCCAGTGCGGACCTACAATGATTGAAACCGACCACCGCCTGGGTTCTTGGAGATTGACCTGGTGGCCCACTGCGGCGGACCGCTGTCGGGATCATTCATCCACAGCCTGGTGGCCACCGACATCTGCACCGGCTGGACTGACCATGAACAATCAAGGCAGTTCCTCTCCTGGCCAGGGAACAATCCCTGGTGGTGGCAGGATTGGAAGCCATCGGTCAGCAGTTGCCATTCCCTGTCCTCGGTATCGACTCTGACAACGACAGCGTGTTCATCAACGAAACGCTGATCACATACTGCGCCAACCGCGGCATCGAGTTCACCCGGTCCCGACCTTACCGCAGCAACGACCAGACCTGGATTGAGCAGAAGAACGGTTCCGAGGTACGACGCTTCGTCGGCCATGACCGGTATTCGGGACAGGTGGCTGGCCTAATCGCCCTGTAAATCGACACATGGCCTATCTCTACGGAGCGCTGCGTCGGTACGTGAACTATTTCCAGCCTTCATTCAAGCTGATCGACAAGACCAGGGATGGCTCCACCACCGTCAAGCATTACAGTCAGCCCGCCACGCCCTGCGACCGGCTGATCCAGTATGCTGCAACCGGCCCTGAGCTGAAAGCCTCACTTGAGGAATATCGGACTGGGTTGGACCCGGTGTTGCTGCTGCACACCATCCATGAAGCCCAGTCGGCGCTGGTGGCAACCACGTCTCCGGGTGTGCGGGAAACGCCAGCGGGAGAAAGTCTCGAACGGTTCCTCGCCAAGTTGCCCAATCTGTGGCGGCAGGGCGAAACACGTCCCACACACGCCGCGCGAGTGCGAGGTCCGCGGCATTGGCGCACCCGCAAAGACCCCTTCGAGGGCGTTTGGAGCGACGTGTTGGGGTGGTTGCAGGCAGAGCCGGATGCCACGGGCAAGGCGCTGATGGCGCGGTTGCAGTCGGAACACCCGGACCGTTTCACCGAAGCGCAGCTGCGAACCTTGCAACGCAGGGTGAAAGAGTGGCGGGGCATCATGGCCAAAAATCTCATTTATGCTTCGTCCAACGCAGGCTCGGCGGAACCAGCTGGACTGCCGGAACTGGACCTGTTTGGAGCGGATCCCCAGTGCTAGAGTTTCGGTAACATTCTTCGGTGAGGCAACAGGACCAGTCGAAGTCTTCCAAGCGGCAGGTCTCCTCGAAACCAGCGTTGTGGAGTCGCAGTTCGGTGCGGCGGTGTGAGCGGCGATTGACCTCGTCGCTGAGGATGATCTCCAGGAATGAAGCGTAGTCGAGTTGCTCCCGACGTGCCAGGGCGATGCGCTCCGGCAAGGTGGCGGCCAAGGCGCCCAGTTTCAGGGTCTTGAGCAGGGGCGTGAGTTCTACGGTTCTGGTCATGGTGATCTCCTATGCCGACTGACGGCTGTACTGGTCGGTATGGGCGAAGACGCTACCGGGACGGGCGAATCGGCCGGGCGGGAGTGGCAGAGGCAGTTGAGGGATGGCCTCCTCTTCCAGCGCCTGCACCAGTATGCGTTCCAACCGGCGCACGTCGATGAGATCGACGGCGAGCGCTTTTCGGCAGGCCGCGTCCAGGCGTGCCGCGGTGTAGCGTTCGCCCAGACGCAGCAGCTTGTGTCCCTGCCGTATCTTGGACCAGGGCACCTTGTTATCGAAGAGGCGCTCGGAGAATTCGGCCACCGCTGGTCCCAGCTTCGCCGCGCTGCGCTTGATGTGATCCGGAGATCTGGTGGTGTAGGGACTCAGCACGGCGGGGTAACCGTCGACCTCGATGCCAACCCTGGCCACCGATTTCAATGGCATTTTGACTGGCGAACAGCTTGGGCATATCCACGGTGAGAACGAGCGCTATCGATGCCAGTTATGGTTCGCCCAAGGGTCATTACGTGAACTCGTTCGGGCGCGAACTCCGGATGCCGGCACTGTATGTAATCGCCGGCGGTATAGTGGACCACGTGGCTGCCTCCAGACTTTTCGGTAGCGTTTATTTGAGGCAATGCGCGATTTGGCGTCAATCAGTTTTGCCAGTTCACCTCCTCGGCCTAGCCTCGCTGCTGGGCGGCGTCAGTCCGGTAGCTGGGGACGTCAAACTCCAGGATGACGGAGTGATGGACCACCCGGTCGATTGCCGCGGCGGTGGCCGTGGGGTTGGCAAAGATGCGTTCCCACTCCGAGAAGACCAGGTTTGACGTTACGCCCAGCGACCTGCGTTCGTAGCGTTCGGCGATGAAGGTGAGGAGCACCTCCGATTCATTGGCGTCCTGGGGCAGGTAGCCCAGGTCGCTTAGGAGCAAGAGCGTTGGAGACGCCTGAACTATATCTCCTACGCGTGTGATCATACCGGCGGACTCAAGTCGATGGTCAAGGCGGCGGCAAGCTCGTTCCTGCGATCATCAGGTACCTCGCGCAAGATGAACTCCACCAAGTCATCCTGTCGAGGTTGACCAAATACCATCCGGTAAACCGCCAATGACCGGCGAAGGGCATCGACTCGTTGGGCGTCGCGCGAAAGCGGGAGCACCGGCGCATAGCGTTGTATGCGGGCATTGCCCTTGGGGAACACCCAATGGGGCGAGAGTCCCCCGTCGCCCCCGAAATCAGCGTCAACCAGACGGTACGCCTCATCCCATGGGCTCACGAACTGGTCGCGGTTGATTGCCTCCCTGACCTTTTCGATCACTTTGTCCCCCACCGACTGCGCGATGTTTTTGCGAATGGCGTGGCCATGGTACCGATGGACCCGGCCTTCCCGTTGTTCCAGGTCCACTGGATTTGAAGGTAGGTTCCAGTGCACCACCGCGTGGCAGTACCAGTGGAAGTCCAGGCCCTCCTGCCCCACGGAGGTGGTGGCAAGGACGAACGGCCAGAACGGGGAGTTGAAAGAGCGACGAACGGCATCCAAACGCTCACTGGCTTGCTCATCCAGAGTACCCGCCCGGTCGCTGGCGTAGCGACGGGCAAAGTGTTGCCGCATCGAGTAGGCTTGCCGGTAGACCCCAGTGTCGCCGGCCTTCCATTCGGCCACCTCCAGCCTGCCGGCGCCCACGTGCAGGGTTTCTGAAAGCGCCGCCCCCAAAGCTGCGGCGTCGGTTGCACCGCCGTGAGACTCGCTGATGACGTGGAAGTACTCGTCGAGAACGTCAGACAACCCGCCTTCAATGGCGTACGCCAGTACCCGGCGCCAGTACCCTCTCCTACCCACGGGAACGGACGGCCTGTACACGTTTTGCAGGAGACCTTCCGATACGGGTGCGCGGAAGAAGGACCGAAAATTCCATGCTGCCTGCCTGCATCGCCACGGTTCCGAGTTGATCGTCCGCGGCCGGCGTGCCCGTGATCCGGGATAATGCGCGTAGCGTGGCGTTGGCGGGAGAACCCGCGGCCAATGATGCCATCACTTCCAACAGGTCGCTGGGCGGGCGACCCAAGCCGGCAGGATCGGCAAGTCCCTCTTCGACCTCACGCGTACCCACTTTGTGGTGACGGGTTAAAAAGGGTCGGTCTCTCCGGGTAAGGAACGGATTAGCCGCCACATTCCTGCCTGAGGAGACCGACCATGCGATGGTATCACCGGATCGCCACTTTTCTGAACCATTCTGCGCCACAGCTCCGCGCCACTCGCCGCGCCAATTTGGCCCTGCTCACGGCGGCCATTCTCGAGCGGCGCACCTTGACCATCTCCGTGTTGGTGCGGGCCTGGTTGGTTCAGTTGCCTTATTCCCATCACCAGCGCAAGAAGCGCCTGTTCCGGTTTTTGTCCAACGACCGTTTTGACACCATGGCGGTGCAGACTGGGCTGCTGGGTCCGGTCTGCCAGGCGGCGCGGTTGCGCGGGCTTACCCCGATCATGATTGATTGGTCCGACTTGGGGCGAGGACGCAACGGTCTGTTCGCTGCGGTCTGTTTCCGGCGTCGAGGATTGCCCCTGCTCAGTTGGGTGTCCACTCCTGCAGAGTTGGACCCGTCCCAGAACCGGGTGGAGGCGTTTTTCCTGCGCCGTCTACTGCACCATCTGCCCGCCACCGTCCGGCCCCTGCTATTGGCCGACCGCGGTTTCGGGCGTGCCAGCCTGATCAACTTCCTGCAGCGGATGCCCGACCACACCGGCTACCCAGTGGACTACGTGATTCGCCTGCGCGGCGACGTGGTGGTCCAGAGTGCGGACTACCGTGGACGGTTGCGGGATTACCGGCTCCCCAAAGGCCGTATCCTCAGCTGGCCCCGCACCCTTTACCGGTCTGACGGCGCGGCGGTCGTCAATCTGGTGCTCTACTGGGCCCGAGGGCATCGGGAGCCCTGGTACCTGGCCACGTCGCTGGCCGACGCTCGCCAGGCGGTGCGCATGTATCGGCGGCGGATGCAGCCGGAGCAGTACTTCAGGGACGGGAAGCAGCGCTTCGGCCTGGACCGGAGCACGGTTACCACCACCGACCGGTTGCAGCGGCTGCTGGTGGCCCTGCTGCTGGCGTGCTGCCTGCTGATACTGGCCGGATTGCGAGTCGCAGCATCGTTCCGGCGACGGATCTGCTCCCGTGGTCATCTGGGAATATTGCACCTGGGCTACGAGTACTACCTGGCTACGCCAGACCCGCCTCCCCAACTCTTCTCCCCACCTCACTACCAAACCGGGTACGCGTGAGCCTCTTCGACACTCCTAACCAACTGGCGCCACGCGGTGGATTCTCCGTTATCGGTCAGTTCAGCGCGCGACGTGCCCGCGGGCGGACCCTGCAGCCAACCCGGTATTCCTGGGGATACGCCGTCAAGCAGCAGCGGGGCGACGGCGTACCAGGCCTGGTGTGGCCGTCCCACAGTTGGAGCGCCACGTGTGATGTCGTTGACCATCGGCCGCAGTCGTTCCTGAATGGCTTCCAATAGTTCGCGAGCTGTGGTCGCTTGATAGCGGTACGGATCCCCCACGTCGGCTAGCGTCGCGGATGGTACGAGCAGCGCAAAAAGAGAATGAGCGTCGCGGGCGAGGTGCAGCGATTGCGCTTCATATCGATGGTTACGCCCGGGGCCAGGAATATAACGACGATCCGCGTCGTAGCTGGCCATCACTGCAACTGCCCGGGGCACCATCGCCCACGAGGAAAACACCAGCCGTTTGGTGGAGTTCCGAGCTCGCTCGAAATCGGGCCCCAGCTGATATGCCGGCAGGGACGGCGGCAGCCACAGCAATCGATGGAGGCCAGCGCATTGCAGGTCATTCAGAAACGCTCTCATGCGCCCGTTTCCTCCGGGGACCTCTTTCCGGTCCACGGTAGCCTCCCGGTTCAGCTGGAGGTTGGGGTTGTTCCTGATTAATTCGGCTACGGGCCCGGCGGGATCCTCCTCGACAGCGTCTTTAACCCGTGCCGCCAGTCGGTACTGCTCCATGAAGGACAGCAGGTAGGGCGTGGATTTCCAGTATTCCGTGACGTCGGGAGAGTCGGTCTGGG